GAGCCACTCGAGGCCGCGCAGCTGGCCGCCCAGCCGCAGCGGCACCAGGGCCCCCAGCAGCCCCAGCAGCGGCCGGTGCCTGTCCTGCAGGCCGGCCTGCGCCTGCTCCAGGAACTGCTGCGTGACGGCGCGGCTGCTCTCGGCCAGCTGCGCCTCCTGCGGCTCCTGCGCGCCGCCCTCCGCGCGCCTCACGGAGAGCAGCGCCGTGCGCATGACGGCCAGGGACGCGTGTGCGGAGCAGCGGTACAGCGGGTGCAGGCGGCAGAGCTGCCGCAGCGCCTCGTGCAGCCCGGCGCCCAGGCGGGCCAGCGGCCGGTAGCGGGCCTGCAGCTCGGCGTGCCGCGTCTGCAGCCCCACCAGGTAGTCGTGCTTGGTGCGCAGCGCCGAGAGCTGCATGTTGAGCATCTGCAGCATGGGCAGGAAGTTCTCGTCGTCCAGCAGYGGCCGCGGCGCCGCGGACACCAGCTCCAGCAGCGCCTCCTGCGAGGGCAGAGCCGCGCGGGCGGCGGGAGGCCGCGGCCGGGGAAGGGAGCAAGGCGGCTGCAGCCCAGTTCACAGCACTGCCCGACCCGGGGAGGACRGGCCAGGGCTGCCGGGGTGCGTGCTGCTGCCCGCAGCCCTGCGCTCACCTCGGTGTCCTCCAGCTTGTCCTCCAGCTCGAACACGCTGTGCTGTATCATCTGCGCGCGGGCCTTGGCGTCGTGCTGCTCCACGTGCAGGATCTCCTGCAGCAGCAGGGCTTCGAAGTCCTCCTGGCTGAGGCTCAGGTCGATTATCTTCACCTGCTTGAGCACGGCCTGGTCGATCTCTGCAAGGAAGCAGGAGAGGGGAGCTGGGAGCGCGGCCGCTGCTGCCAGGGCCTGTGCGGAGGGTGCAGGTGTGCGGGACTCCAGCCTCCTTGTGCGCGAGTCCCGCGTCCTGTCTTGGCCCCCGGCTCCAGACTCAAAGCCGCACGACCTCCCKGACGAGCTGAACCGTGCTGAGCACAAGTGCGTGCCAAGGGGACGGAGGAGGTGACCCCAAAAGCCTGTGCCAACGGTGCAAGCTGCCACTGCCCAGTCATAGGGAAATACAGTGAGCCTGGGTGACCTGCAACTCATCCCAGGGGCGGCAGGAAAAGAGGACGCACCAGGTAAAATTGAAAGGTTAAAAAAAGAAAATCAACCTGACTGAAAAACCTTAATGGTCAGGACTGAAGGGGAAGGGGCAGCGGGACATTTTCCGCTGTGTGTGACCCTCCAGGGAGAGCAGCCGAGGGGGGACTCAAGGGCTGACAGGAGGAGCTCTGAGAGCAGTCGTGTGCTCAGCTATTAGGTGGCAATCCCAGTGCAACCTGGAGATTCTGCTGCTTAGACCTTATTGCTCCCAGTCTACCAGTCAGGTAAACAGAACATCTGCCTGTGCTWCGTTCCTCAGCATAGCGGTAGTGATGATTGCCGTCCCTCTCGGAAAACCAAATTGTCCCATGACAAGAAATGCAAGACCTCTCTAAACCCAGCTGCAAGGCACAGGTCAATGGGCAATAAAGGTAAGTCAGCACAAGCAAAGACTGAAAAAATAGAAGCCTGTAAGTGTGTGTCTGCTGCATTATATATAGGCTTTTAAAGATGTAATGAGAAGTCCTTCACAGGAAGAAAAACGGAGTACATAGTTATAAAAAGCAGCTAGAACAGGAAAGGCTGCTGCAGAGAAGGGCATGCCCGTATCTTTTAAGACAACATGRGTCGCAAGCCAAGGGGAGCAGTTAGCACTTGCCTGCAGACAGAGTGAAGAGGAACACAAAGTGTTTGTGGACTTTGTGGACCAATTTGGACATTCAGATTAACGGGGCGGGGGGGAGGTCTACCTGGAGTGTACAGACACAAATGAAAACCAGCAGTGCCTAAAAACTGATCTTGAGCCTCCTAAAGCGAGCGTCTGAATGACGACCCGTCCCAAGGTGCGTGTTGCCCCAGGCTGGGCCCGTGGGCAGAGCGGGGGTTCGGGCTGGCAGAGTGCGGACACGGGCCCGTCCAGAGCCCTCTGCAAGGTGGCAGCTGAGCGGAGGGGAGCTGGGGAGATGGCACATGCTGCRGTCTGGAAGACAAGGGAGAAATGCCGGGCAAGGAACCGGGATGCCCGCCCTGGGCTGGCTCCCGAGTTCAGCATCACCAGCCAACGCTCAACAAGCTCAAGTCCTGGTGCAAGCTGCAGATGTATCATCAGCTGCGAAACGTGGCCCCCACCCGCTCAGCACAGCAACGAGACACAATTTGGCAGTGATTGGCCAAACAAATCTGCTCAAACGCCTTTGGGATAAATTATTTTCCACAAATAATGTAAATCAGTGGGGCCCCTATTCAAAATTATTCTGGATCTTTTTACCTATTCAAAGACAGCTGCAAAACATCAGGGATGAAAGAGCAGAGTTCAAGACAAGAATCTCAGCGCTCTCCATAAACAGAAAGTCTGGTCAGAAGGAGCAGGAATCTGCTGTTGCTCTTAGCTCAATTTTCTGTGGCAACACTTGAAGACAAAACCGTCTCTCCTGGTGTATCTCTCTCGCTAATGAATCTCTCTGAGGCGGGGAGCTGCCCTGCTCAGCAGCTCCTGTCCGAGTATGGGGCTCTCTGCGCGGCCCGCCAAGCTGCACAGCTATGCTTTGGAGCAGAAGTCCTGATCTTCTACCCGCTCCCTCGTAGAGAAATGTCTCCAACAACGTGACAACCAGCAAATATGTCTCCAAAGGCTCTTAAGGACCAGACTGGTAGGAGATGTGGTGTACGGGGCAGTGCAGAGACAGAGGAGCTGACAGCCAGCTCCTGAACACCAAGTGAAGCCTCAGGGCCGGGCTCTGCACCGGCGGCACCGGGAACCACTGCAACGCAGCCGGTACCCGGCAAGAGCGGTGCCAGGCGAGTGTCACCTGCGGCAAGCAGCACCTCGGAAGAGGAGCCCCTGCGCGCCAGAGCCTGCAGACGCGGCAGCGTCTGTGCGGGTTCGCTTTCCTGCGTCACCGCCGAGGCTGAGCTGCCAGCGTTGGGCAGGCGCTCCCGCACCGGCCTCCGAGCGCGCGGCTGCACGCCCGTCCTTCTGCATACCCACACAAGCCTGCCAAGACATTTGCTGCGTAATCTGATTAGGAGCGGTAAAGAGGTTTAAAAATAAGTGCATACGTGTGGGGAGAACGACGCAGCTGCTATTAAAGACACGAGTGCTTCTTTTAGCGTCAGCGGTGCAGAACTGCTGCCGCAGGTGTGTGGAGGCCACAGCCCCTCAGCAGCGTCAGAGGAGCCAACCTGCCAAAATCTGCCTGCAACAGGTAGAAGAAAACAATATACGAACGGCAGGGCTCCTTCTGGGAGATGAACGCCGGAGCTGCTGCGTAGCCAGAAATAAACCACCACGGGTGTGCCTGGAACATTTCCATCCATACATTTTAGCACAGAAGGTGCTAGAGACAAATCCTTATTTTGAGCAACCATGTAAGCACAGGGCTGCTGTGGGACCAGGACGGCAATCTGAGAACACCTGCACTGGGCAGGAGAGCAGAGTCCTGGCCAGCAAGGGGTGTCACTGACACTGCAAAAAGGCTTCAGGAAGCCAGCTCTAACTTCAATCAAGGGGGAAAATTTAGGKGAAAATTAAACTTGGAAGGTTTTTTTTTCCCCGTTTCTGCTGCTTTTTAGCAAACAAGAGAGGATCAGAATTTGAGGGGGATGTTAAGCATTTGCCAGAAAGTGCCGCTTTACAATCAGGAGCCCTAAATAACTTGCATTGCCCAACGCAAGAGCAGGCCGAGTGAACCCAAGAGCACAACCGCTGTCCTGCTCTGCACAGAAGTGCCGCGGGGCAGATGGAAGCACCGGCCGCCGGGAGCCCGAGCTCCACGGACAAGCAGATGCCAAGAGGAGTTTCCAGGAAGGGAGCACCGGTCTCTTGCAGGCCAAGGTCAGAGCCTGCTCGGTTGGTCCAGCCGCCAATGAGCCCTGCTGCTGCTCTCAGGATCCCTTCCAGTTTCAGAAAGGGATGGACCTGCACAGCCGGGATGGGCAGTCACGCCGGGAAGCTGGACCTTGGCTTCACACGGTTCTGTTTTGCCCTCCACTACTCGGTTSCTGGCACTTACTCTGCTTCTTGAGCTGCCATTTGCACAGAAAGAGCTRCTGTCCGCTACAGATCCAACTCCTGAGTGACAACGGTCACACGGAGCCTGTCACCTCACGTGTGGTCAGGCTTCCCCTCCTAACGGGGTGCCTCCTTTCTGTCTAGGTACCCTGCACGGATCCTGCCTCTGGATCACCCCGCGCCACGATGCTCCGCAGCAGTTCCTGGAGCTGCTCTCCTAGACACTGCTGATCCACGTAGCCGCATCTGCTCCTCCGGCCCTGCCCGATCCCTTCAGCACTCGCTGAGCAGCAGCGGCCTCCACGGGACTCCACCCCGACCTCCTCCTGCTGAGAATGGCCATTCCCTCTCGGCTCAGTCACCCCTTGGGGAGGAGCCGCTCTGGTTGTCCACGACAGCCCCTGCGGAGGACCCCTGCCCAAACCAGGGGCCCGCCCGCCGCCCCGTGCAGCTGCGGGGGCGTCCTGCGCGGCGCTGCCCGCCCGGGTGCGTGCACGTGTGCGCGGGCGCCGCGGGGCCGCCGGGCTCCCTACCTTGGCGCAGGGCGCCCAGCGGCAGCGCGGTGCTCAGGCAGAGCTGCGTGGGGGGCAGCGCGCCCGCCTGCAGGAGCTGCGGCAGGGACAGCCCCTTCTCCACGTCCAGCAGCAGCACCGCGGAGCCTAGGAAAGCAGAGGSGGGTCCTGCCGCTGCCTCCCGGCCCCTGTCCCCGCGTGTGCCCTCCCTCACGGACAGGAATCCCGCAGGACGAACACCCTGGCCCGGGCAGCCAGAGCCAGGTCCACCCTGTGCTCAGGGGCTCCACCAGCCCGCCAGGACCCGCCACCTTCAGGCAATCTGCACAAGGCRTTTCTGCAGCGGGGACTTGCCACGGCAGGGCCACCAAGGCAGGGACAGAGTCTGTTCGTCTCTGAGCSCCCGTGCGAGCCCTGCACCCTCCGCACCCAGATGTGACCCCGTGGGGCCAGGCCCCAAGCACGGAGGAGGCAGCAGGACTCCGGTGGCTCCTGGTACCCGCTCACATCACGGTCCTTACCGCTGTCAGCGGCGGCCAGGAGACTCTGCTCCAGGTTGGGGTCTGTGGCTGACAGCACGCGGAAGCTTTTCCTGGGCAGCTCTATCGTGCTCCTCGTCTCCTTGGCATTGAGGGAGAGGTCTGGTCCGAGGGAGACCTTGGCTGGAAGCAGAGAGGACGAGCTCTACCAGAGCCCTCAAAGGCTCCTGAGCGCATCCTGGAGCAGCAGGACAACAGCACCTCCTCGCCGAAGGTGTCCACTCCCCTGAGCACTTTTAAAGTAATTCTACTGTCCAGGTCATGGTGCCTGGAGGAAAACGTGGCCCAAGGGGCCTCCCAGGACCCTGCCCCAAAGCAGCCCTCTGCAATGGGAACGGCGCCTTCGCAGGGTCCCAACCCTCCCTCCGAACCGCTCACCTACCCGTGCCCGCCCCTTCCCGCGTGGCAAGCCAGCTGAGAGCCTGCTGGTCGGGGTCGAGGAGCAGGGGCCAGAAACGAGAGCCGTGCTGCATGTGCGCGTGGAGCAGCAGGGCTGCGTGGCGGCCGTCGGGGCTCTGCAGCTTGCCGGCCCGGTCCCAGGCGCGCTGCTCCCTCGCTGAGCTCAGCAGGGCCGGCAGCTCGAAGTCGGCTCGCACAGGCAGCAGGGCGGCATCAGCGGAGGCTTCGCTGGGGCCTGGCAGCTCCTCTTCYATGAGCCTCTGCACGTCGTCGGGCCCCGGCGCACAGGGGCAGCCTGCGCACAGGTCGCGCCACTTGCCAAGCAGCTCCTGCCGCCGCCGAGGCGGGAAGGCACCGAGGTAGGCTAAGGCTGCCGCGCAGAGCAGAGCATCTCCAGGCACCGTAGCAAACCTCTGCTCCAGGAGCTGTTAGACACAGCAGGTTGGGAGGCAGCTGCCCCTTGCCGCCTCCGTGCAGCTCCGCACCAGGACCCCGTCCTCCCACCTCCTGCGAGACCCAGCGGGCACAGAAACCCGCGAAGAGAAAAGAGCGAGGAGAGAAGAGGGGCAGAACACGGACCCGGCAGAACCGGGTCTCCGTGGGAGGCTGCCGGGGCAGCCCGGGGCAGCGAGGCAGCCCGAGCCTCACCTCGGCCGCCGCCGTGTAGTTGGCCACGTGCTCCGCGATGAAGCTCTCCAGGGCGGCCGCTGCCTCCTTCTCCTTCAGGCTGCGGTTCAGCTCGCGGAGCAGCAGCCTCTTGCTCTCCAAGGCGTGCTTCAGCTTCACGGTCCAGCCGTGGCTGAGCTTCCTGAAGCGCGCGGCCTGCAGGCGCTGGTCGTCCAGCCACCCCTTCTCGCTCTGGATCCGGAGCTGGCAGTGCTGCAGCTGCAGCACCGTGGGCTGCCACACGGCCAGAGCCTGGCAGTACCTGTAGATCGCGCAGATCCACTGGCACAGAGCAGCGGCAGCGACGCTGACGTGGCGCACAGAGGCGGCGCTCAGGCTGCCGCTGGACACGGCGTGGTCCAGCACGGCCAGCAGCTCCTTGGAGATCTCCTCCTTTGGGTAGGAAAGCAGCTCCTGTGGGATGGACAGGACAGACATGACGCTGTATAGCTGCTGACAACAAGGATCTTGGCTGGGTAAGCAATGTACCAGCAAGACCAGGTCTAACATCTCTGTGGGCTTGCGCTCAGCCTTGGGATCCTCTATGCCAGCAAACCCAGCAAACCAAGCCCTGAAAGTCCTGCCAGGGCAGGATGCCCACGACTGACCACGGGTGTGTGACCAGGGCACCAGTGCAGCACTGCAGTGCCTGTGTCCTGCTCAGGAAGGGCATCCCGTGGCAAAAGCAGCTTTTGGGACCTGTGACCTAAGGCCAGCCTGGGACATTCGCAGTGAAGATGTGGCTGGCACCACCAGCTGGGACAGAGCTGAGACGGGGCAGGAGCTGCCAGAGAGCCAGGGGAGAGCCCAGAAGAAGAGTCTGAGAAAAGGGGCACAAATCACAGCTGAGGAGTGGGAATGAATCTCAGAACATGAGTGTGGCCCACAAGGAAACAGCTGGCACGGCAAGAGAAGGTGCTGGAAAAGACCGGAGGGGCTGCTGCACRGGACGGAGCTTCGGAGGGAGTCATTCCCGGGATCCACAGCGCGATCCTTTCCATGCAACAAGAGGCAGGTCCAAGACAGTAATGACAAATCTGAACGGCGCTGCAGAGGTCCCTTTCCCATACGTGCATTGTGTATCTAACCTCGGGTAYAGGGAGAAAACCTCTTGGAGGGGCAGCCAAGCCCCTCCTTGTGAAGAGCCACGTATTAATAAAACTAGCAGCGTGTATGCAGTCTGCACCAAATGTTAGCAAAGACAAAGATAAACTGCTGCCGTGCCAAGCGCTGCTCCTAGCAGCTCTTTGCAATGTAAGTTTATGACTACTCGGAGGAAATGATAAACAAAACTAAATTAATTGCCTGAGCTGCCTCGCTRTTTGTCCGAGCTCTCTCCTCTCACACACACAGAAATATTCCACTGGCTTCTCCCAAACCCCACACAACCAAGAGCAATACCACAAGGCAAAGACACTATAGTTTCTCTCACAATCATATAATATGTCTGAAAAACCTACAGGAGCTCTGCAGATAAGCAGGAATCAAAAATCCAGGAAGTTTTTGGCAACTCTGAGATAAGAGTTAAGTTAAACTAATACTCCATCATTAAGAATTAAGAAAATGCATCAAAGTTTACTCAATCATGGCCAGAACCAGCAACTGACGTCAAATGTATTTTAAGTTTATGTTCTCTTCTTTTTTGTTTTTCCTTTAGAACTGCTTCCAGTCTCTGCAACACAAAATCCAAGCACTTACCGCACTAGAAACACGCATGCTGTTTTCATTTGAGCTCGTCTTTTGTTTAGAGCAGATCCAGGCCAGGCTGACAGCAYTAAGTACCCTGCATTTGCTATGCCAGGAACCCAATCAAGTTGTTGCTGCAATAATCGTGCCCCCA